TGAAATTCCCCCAAAATATGTAAGGAATCTACCAGAAATTCTTTAAGATAGCAACTAATATGTTTAAAGATTTACTCATTTTTATTTGAGAGGCAGATGTTACAGAGAGAGAGAAACAGAGTTAGAGAGGTCTTCGATTAATCATTCATTCCTGAAATTGCTGCAATAGCTGGAGGTGAGCTGATCCAAAGTCAGGAGCTTCTTCAGGTCTCCTATGTGGGTGCAGGACTTGATTCCTCTTCTGCTAATTTCCTTGTCTCTAAGCAGGGAGGTGTATCATTAAGTAGGACAGCTGGGACTACACTGGTACTCAGAAGGGACAGAGGGTTACCCTGTTAAGTCACCATACCAGGCCCCATGTTTCAATACCTTTATTTTTTCTGTTAACTAGCTACATATCCATTCCAGATTCCAGCACCCTGCAAACGTGCCCCTTGGGAGGTTACAGGTATTGGTTCAAGTAACTAGGTCCCTTCCACATCCATGACTGTTTTGAACTGGATTCCTGACTCCCAGATTTCACGGGGTTCAGCCCAGGCTGGTATACACATTTGGGTTATAATTTGATGATTGGTTATTCTGTCTGTGCCCTATTTCTTTTTCTTTCTCACTCTCTGCCTCTCAAACAAATAAATATATTTTAAAAATCCAATTCAATCAATGATAATTTCCTATGCTTAAAACCTTTGCATTTTAAATATATAAAACTGATTTCCCAAAAAAAGATATATTTGAATATTCAATCATGCTGAATCTGGGGGCAATTTATTAGAAATGACTTGAAATTTAGTCCTGATTATTGATTAGAAGCTGAAAACATAAATTTTAAATGAATTAAAAATTTTCATCATAACAATATATGTCATTTTAATGAAGGATATCATAATGAACAAATTTCATCACATTTATTGGTTATTTGTAATTCTGATGTGACAACTGTTTCTGTTTAATTTACTAAATACATATTCTCACTTACTCATAAGTAATCTACTATTAAACAAGATCTTTAGGATTTAATCCGAAAATAACTGAGATACTTAAACCATTTTTAAAAATTCATAGGAAATTATAAAGACATAACACTAAAAAGTTACCCATTGAAAGAACTCAAAAACAACTGAATCTTGCTTCATTCCTTCTCTACCAATAATATCAACTCTAAAGTTTGCATGGTTAAATGTGTTTTTGTTATCTGTATGAACCAAGGACAAAGTTCACATAGACTAAATCATCCATTCAGGGTGACTTGAAGGACTCCTGAAGGACCCATGTATATAACAAAGCATGTGATTTTAAGAATCTTAATTTTAAACTCAATCTTCCACATCTACAACTCTAAGCTTCTTGAGTTTTTCTGCATTCAAATAGCCTCAACAACTGCATTATAACTTTACTTAAGTAGCTCTAAGTATCACCGATTTGTGGACAAGTATATTACTGAAAACATTTGGACTATAAATCTGTTTGTATAGTGATAAATAAATAAAATTTAATATTTGAAATATCAGAAATAGTGAACACTAGATGTCAGTGTAAGAAATAGAAAAATATTTTTAAAAACCTGTTATTTCCAACCAGGTATGTAACAAAAAATATTAAAAGTAGCTATGACCACATTTACCTATAAGTGCACAATTCAGTTAACAAGCCAAACTTCCTCTCAAATAAAATATTCTGTTTTGAAACTACCTGTATGAAATTTTACCACATAATTCAGAAATCAAAATAAAAATATATTTAAAAGAGAGTTTAAAATCAGATTAAGTTGATTATTAGAAGTTACAAGATATATTATGCAAATTTAAATTTTAAGAATCTGTGTTTTGAAGAAGATTTTACTTTTAATAATACAAATTTTGAAAGGAGGCATTAAATCCAGATACAAGCATATAAATATTATGCATCATTAATTTATTGGGTGAGAAATAGTACTTTCCAATATAACAAATGCCATTATTGATTATTAAGCATCCAAAAAGGCTACTGAATCTTAGGCATTTCTCTGAACACAAGTCGGTTACATTAATTTCAAGGAATTAATATTAAAACGCTTTGAACGTGAATTCACACACAAAGACGATTATATGAATCTGATAAATACAACTGATTCCCGCCAAATCCTTTTAGCCAGGGAATATATCTAAAATATGAATGTTAAATATGATCTACTAAAACTAATACCTACAACTATCAATATTTCAGATAAACAATTCTCACTATAAACTTTCTACAGAGTAAACAATATTAAAACACAAATTTTAAAAAGTGATTGCCAATAGTAATAATAAAAGGAAGTTCATATCAAAATAGCTACATATATTTTACAAAGTGCAATCATAGTATTACCTAACTCTAGATTAATAACAATAATTTTATAAATATATATTCCTTTTAGAGCAGTAGTCTTTTGGGGATTTGAACTCTGCTGTCTACCAATCTCTTTTTGCTGTGTTCTCTCTCAAATTCCATATTACTATTGGCTTTTTCCAATTTGTTTTCATAAATATTCTGAAAACCATCATGACTAGAAAAGAAACAAAACTAAACACAGCAGTCATCACTAAAATACAAAATATGAGGATTCAAAAATCATGAAGGAGAACATTCAAGGATTTTTTGAATAAAAATATGTTTTAGGCAATACTATGTTCTTGTTTCCCTCACAGATTAATTTCAATGATCATAACACAGGCAAACAACAAGAAGGTATAATATTTATCAAAAGTGTTCCAAGCTCCTAGGATTGAAATTGATTAACAAATTTAGGAGCTTCAGGGCTGATGGAAATCAAGGGAAAGCAACTGGAAACTTCACTTACAATCAATGATCTAAACTGAGATCTAAGAATTCTAACGCACATAAAAGTACTGGGAATGAAAAATAGACAAACACACAGACACACACACACACACACACACACACACACAGAGATAAAACTGTGCAAGGTGTGACATTTCAAAAAGCAAACTGGCACCAGAAACACAATAGCATTTGGATCTTCATGGTTTCTTCCTGGCTCCAATGCCTTTGCCTCCGAGGCTTTACTATTCCTAATGACTTAGACTTGGGATTACAATTTTCAACAGTCATTAATTTAAAAGAATTTTCTGTGGTGAATAGTGTGAATCAGTGGTAAGTCGTTTACATACATAATCATCTGTAATTCCTGTTAGACAGGTAAGTTTTGACACATGAGTAAGGAGGGTATCAGATGGATTAAGGAATACGGTCAAGATCGCATTTCTCGAAAGTTACAGAGCCAGAATTCAAACCTAGTGGTTTGTCTCCAAAATATTTCCCACTTTACTAGCATTTCCCAAATGATGGCTCATAAACTCTTGGGGATTTTGCAAAACAACCAGAGGAGCGAAATTTGGAATGATTAACAAAGGAAAATATACCAAGTTAGGACATATAAAATGCAGTAACAACTTAGTATCCATGAGCTTTTCACTCAGGTAGATGTTAACAACTGTCATGGTAGATCTGACTGTCATGCGGATTGTTCCATCAATCTTCTTAGCATCAAATGCACTGAATTAAATTATTATTTCTCCATAAACTTGTCCTTCTTCTAGACTACTTTATGTTAATTCATGAAACTGACATTCTCCCAACTGGTTAGGAATAATTTTTCCTCTCTGCTTTTCTCTTACTTCTAAACCTTTGGTCAGAAATCCTGCATATTCTAAGCTTCATATTTTCTTTTAAATCTAAGGTCTTCACCCCCTAGATACACAGTTCAGAACACTTTGGGACCCAACATAGTAATACCTTGTGAGTAAACTTATAATTCTCGTCCTATCTGGCTTCACAAGACGTGACTTGTTGAGAGCCCAGCGTGATAGCCTTGCGGCTAAAGTCCTCACCTTGCATGCGCCAGGATCCCATGGGCGCCGGTTCTAATCCAGGCCACCCCGCTTCCTGTCCAACTCCCTGTTTGTGGCCTGGGAAAGCAGTGCAGGAAGGCTGAAAGCCTTGGGACCCTGCACCCGGGTGGGAGACCTGGAGGTGGCCCCAGGCTCCAGGCTTTGGATTAGCATCGCTCTGGCCGTTGTGGCTACTGGAGAGTGAATCAACGGATGGAAGAATTTCCTCTCTGTCTCTTATCCTCTCTGTATATCTGACTTTCCACTAAAACTAAAATAAAGCTTTAAAAAATGTTGTATCTTTTACTATTCTACATATAATATGCAGGTTAATGTATCCTTTTCCTGACCACACTACTCTCTAAAATTATCAGTTACCCCAGTCAGTCAGGTGTGAAAACCTGGAAAATCTGACTCGGAGGCTTTTGCTTCATCCTTTTCCTCAACACACATTTAAAAAACATCATTCATAACTGAACTGGAAACCAATATGGTTTGAACAGAGATGATCGCATAGGCCAATGGCCAAATTTGTCATTAGTGCAAATGAAGGAACTTAGATACGATGTTTAAAAAATAGGCCTTCTACTCCTGAGAACATCATTCAAATCTGCTCCAACATGCAAACAGGTTTAGCTATTAATGATTACTAAACAGCATGCAACTCAAGCATAAAAAAATGGTTTTGAAAATCAAGTGGAAATAAAAGACTAGTTTATTGATTCCCATTCCATCTTTGGGAAAATGGATGCTTGGTTTTTAATGCTGACACAGATAAACAACTTCCTTTCTACCTTACAAGAAACTTTCATTTTCTGATTACAATAAAAACAAAACAACCAATTTAGATACTTCCATAATCTGTTATTTCATTTTCATAACACCTGAAATGTATTACCATAACTTTTTGATTGTACTGACTGATTGATCAATTGATTGAATCATAAATGAATTAATGGATGGATACTTTACAAATAGTAAATACTGTTACGTATAGATTTGCCTCAATGAGGCTAACAAAATGAATATCATATATAAATAAAGATCTTTTAAAAAAATGATTTGGACTGTGATACTAATAAAAGCAGACTGTTGAAAAAGAAATACCAAATAAAATTAAAATTCTCTTACCAGATTAGTTAACTGAGTATGCACCACATCTTCTACCAAAATCACTGTTTCATGAAGAGGCCTCCTGGCATCACCCAAAGAAAACCTATCAACAAACAAACAAACATTAAGGATTCTAAGAGGGCTAAGAAGTCAAAGTTAGTCATTACAAGAATCATGTCAATAAAGACAACATAAACTGATTTCTCAAATGAATAAACTGATGTACAAGTTTCCCTAGATGAAGGAAATTAACATTTCCTATTCAAGTTGCAACTTTCAAAGAAAAGTGGAATGTTATCCATGCTATTTCTTAATATGTACAGTATTTTGAAAGGCATGCAAATGCAAAATACCACAGCATAACTTCATAATATTGGCAACCAGAAAATCTTACTACCACAAAGAAATGAATAAAAAAGCACAGTAATAAGCATACTTTCAAAAGTATGTAACATAATTTTTACTCAGAAAAATATGAAGGTCATCCATTATGGTATTTCATTAAGTATAAACAGATTTTTAATAACTGATTAGAAAATACATCCCAGAAGTCTGTTTCCCAACTTTCATGTGGAGGGCAAGTTATGCCACAAATCCTTTCTGGTAAGAACAGCTGAAAATGTATAGTAATGTTTCTAAAACATGTATCAAAAATATGCCTTAACTAGCAGTATAGAAAACACAAAGAAAATCAAGCACAGAGACAAAATAAGTTCCACCTGATAAAACATCACACCCAAAATTCATAATGAAGGAATGAGTAAGTACATTATTTACAGCAATCTAGAATTTAATCACGGCAACCTTGAAAATACATTGAGCTGGATTATCTAATCAACATATAGAAAAGAACATGGGAGCCTCCAGCAAGTCAGTTTGAAGTATTCAGTATAAAGCTGAGAGATCTAATACCCATAATGGTGATATTTTCAGTGCAGAAAATATTTAACCCATAAATGAACTTTGCTGATCTAAGTCAAATTTTCAAATGCATAAATGATAAAAAAGAGGGAAAAAAATCTCACTTAAGAACTATTAACCAAAAATCTACTTTAGAATGCAAGCTATACACATAGCTTAAAATAAATAAAGTCCAAAATAATTTGAATTGATTTATATTGATAGTGATGAGAGATATCTGGTAGCATCTTTTGAAGAGTATATTTAAAACAAAAATCTGAAAGTCTCATAAATGACAGCCATATTGGGGGACATGACTTCAAAATCAAAATTCACTGTGTAAGCTCGGAAACAAAAATCATGAGAGTAAAAACAATCAAGAAACTAAAAATTAAGCGCACAAAATTAATGAATACAAGTTAACTTCTAAAGCAGGATTTGTGGACAAAGCAAATTAACAGATAAAAATTAAAAACATCAAATCTAAACTCAATCAGAGTCATGAATGCCATGGAAGTGACACCATTTAGCTCCTCCATTAGGAACTGAGAATTCTGGAATTGAACCATGTGAAAGTAGTATTTTAGTTAAAAAGATTTTTATAGTTAGAAAACAAAAGGAAATCAAGAACTGTTAAGTACATGGATAATGATTTCTAATCTAAACTCTCATATAACTGCCCCTGTTTGATAAGAAGAATAAATGGATGCATTGTTGGGTGGACAGGGACACTGCTGAAGCTTTCCCGGGCATATTTTTGCTTAAGATATAGCTAACTTTCTCAAAGTATATTCTTATTAAGAAGGTAGGTTCTTAAGCAAAATGCCTCAACCATATCCCTGCAAAACTGCTGCCAGGACCTTTGCTCCTTACTGGTCAACTTATGTTTTGAGGGAAGCACTTCTACCTCTAATATTCCTGTCTTTCACTGTGCTTCATCTTCACCATTATGCTAATAAAATGATACTTCCTGCCCTACTTAAGATCTCCAAAGAAACACTTCAATATCTTTAAGTCACATGTTTAAAGCTTCCACTAAAAGCTTTGTAGTTGTCTGCAGATGACCTGGGCGCAGTATTTCTGTAACATGTAGAGCAGAAAATTTGTCCCATGTTAGAATGAACTTTGACAGTCATAATTAACTAAATTTAATATGTACTTATAATACATGTAAACCTATTAAACACAGTAATTCATACTCATAATACTTGTCTGACTCTTTTTTTTTAACCTTACAGACCCCCTTTACCACTGACAACTTGACTCACTTGTTCTGGATCTAGTCCCATTGATGGAATTTAATATCCAGTTCCTTCCAATACTGCCTAGATGCTGGTAATAACACCACTACTGATAGATGAGCTGCCAATAGAGGTTTCCCAGGAAACCTGAAAAGACTATCTAAACAATCTTATTGTTTCATTGATATAATTCGTACCCCTCCATTTTAGAAAGAAGTATAACTCTGAAAGCCATAATTGCTAGTGGGTCCACAGCAATCTTACTGGAATCATCTTACTGATGATCACAGAACTAATTCAACCAAACTTCTTACCCAAATAGGATTTATCTCATTCAGTTCCTGAACTGAATGCTGCAATGAACACTAGGGTAGTCAACTGTATAACTTCTTTGTCAAGTACACTGTGAATATATGAAATAAATAAGAACATTCACAAGTAGTCTTAACACTGTTTAAGTTTTACAACTTAACATTGAGATAGAAGAGTATGAATGTTAAAGACAGTTGTGACCTCCTGTTAACACACAAACACAAAACCCACAAAAAACTTGTAGAATTTAGGACTTTCAAGATTTCTGTTTGCGATATATCTTCTCAATTAGGCTAACACTGGAAGACAAGTTATACATAAATAAGTATTGAAGGAAGAAAGGTATGAAAGTGCTAAAGTGCTAAAATAAAAACAGAAAACTCAGTGATAATTGAAAAATAAACATAATAAATATTTTAGAACATACAAAGTCAATAAGTCATTGTGTTCCCCCCCAAACAACAAAACTACAATACTTCCAAGTTACAGCAATGCTCCTTTGGTCTCCCTGTAAATTCTATAGTGTAATTTCATTTCGCCAAAATCTTCTAACCTTCAAGCTCTACACAAAAGGTTGTTATGTAATGACAGATTCACTCTCCTGACATCTACTTATCCCCAATTATGAAAGGCAGTCAAATCTAAACTCTTTTAATAGCAGAAATTGTAGATGAGAAAAAGGAAATACACTTTTATAACTTTTTATACTTTTACTAACACAGATAGTATGTATATGTTTCAAGTTAAAACAAATACACGAGAACAAAGAGCATGAAACAAACAAAAGAAGTACTGAAGGAGGTTGAAAGTACACAAATTTTAAAATAAGTATTTTATTAATTAACACGAGAAAATGGTTTTTGCTCTTACATAGGCATATCTGAGCTTTGCCTGAGACTCAGCGGTTTCCCAAATTAGCCTCCATTAAAACAGCCAGTATAGTTTATCCTAAAAGATCATGATACATTTGTGGTTAAACCTGCACAAGCAAAGCAAGCCTAGGACGCAGGAGGACCAAGGAGCGAGGCCGCTGACATGCACTATGTGGCATCCTACCCGCTGGCCGCCCTTGGGGGCAATGCGTCACCCAGTGCCAAGGACATCAGGAAGATCCTGGACAGTGTGGGCATGGGGCAGATGACAAGAGGCTCAACAAGGTCATCAATGAGCTCAATGGCAAGAACATTGAGGATGTGATCGCTCAGGGCATTGGCAAGCTGGCCAGTGTGCCCGCTAGAGGGGCTGTGGCCTTGTCTGCTGCCCCGGAATCGGCGGCCCCAGCTGCCGGTGCGGCCCCTGCAGCAGCGGAAGAAATGGAGGAGAAGAAGGAAGAGTCGGAGGAGTCAAATGACGACATGGGGTTATGCCTGGTTGACTAGATCCTGCGTCCCCCCAATAAAGCCTTTTATGTTAAAAAATAATGATAATAATAATTAGTAATGAAAACGAACATTATTAGCCTTCAGTTACTCTGATTATTTCAGATCTAGGTCCAAAAGTAGAGAAACAAACAGCTCAGGAGGACTTTCTTCTTCTGTAGATAACACTTTTCTATGTTTTGACTCACAACTGGTATCTCTTTGCAGTTGCAGCCCCTGACTCTGGGCAACAGCTGATTGCAAGTAGTTCATCTGAACAACCTTCAGAAACAAAGAGTGTGCTAATGCAGCTGAAAGTTGTACTACATCATGCCCATCAACTACAAACAGCTAAAACAGGAAACAAAACAAAACAACAGAAAAACTTGGGATTTGGATAACCTGGTTCTAGTTCCTGCTTTGCTGATAAAAGATGTTGTCATGGGCAAGCCACTTGTCAGTGTTTCAGTGACTTAACAATGAAAGAAAATGACTATAGGATTTACAGATGCCGTTCCAGAGGGTTCATAGGATTTACAAAAGCAACTACAAACCTTAAATCCTATAACCCGTATCTTCAAGAATGAAGTAACACTATTCTAAGAAAATTAGCTCTTCCATTTAATTGCAAATGGGGTACTAACAGTAAAAGAAGAAAAATAGCTTTCTAATCACTAAAGCCATGAAATAAATCAATAAAAACAATCGGAGCAAAGAAAGTAAAGCTACAATGTATTGCCAGTTTTATATGCAAAGAACTTCCAAGAATATTCCATTGTCCCTTAGAATTTTTTTTTTAATAAAGGCTGCAGATATTAGCACAGGTTTTGTAAGATTCTTTTCCACTTTATTTTATACTTCTACCTTTGAATCTAAGAGTCTTCTTTTTCAAATTTTTAACTCCTGATTAAGACCAGGGGGAAAGACATACTTGCAAGCACAGAAACCAGTGCTGGGGTGAGCCTAGGGAAGGTTTTTGGGGGTCACTCTGGCCAGGCTGCAGCTCCTGCTGGTGTATATTAGAGCTGACTGTGTGGTGGGAAGGGTTAGACTGGGCTGGCCATGGCATCTACTAATTTACTTAAGAGACAGAGCTGGAGACAGAACTGATCGAGCCATTGCAACAACCCACTGTGTGCGTAAGCGGATGTGGGTGATGGACTGAGACTGATCCCATACTGGCAAGCACACACAAGTAAGGTCTGAGATCACTTCAGATGAGGTTTCTTTGGGGAGCCCCCCAATTGAACTGCTGGACTCAGAAATCTAACCATGGGGAGAACTTTGGTCAG